GTATCTTCACCGGCGTTGTCACTCTTCGTTGCAGAAGTGGTTGCCTGGTCCTCTCCCTGAATCGTGGTATCGCTAATGACCACGCCTCCCTCCTGGTGCTCACCCTCCTTCACATCCTTGGCTTCTGACTCCTTTGACAAATGCCCCGCCGTCTGCTTCCTCCACAGCTCCGCGTACTTTCCTTCTTCGTTCTTCAGCAGCCCCTGATGTGTGCCTCGTTCGATGATTTCGCCCTTCTCCACCACCAAGATCTGGTCGGCATCTGCAATCGTGCTAAGTCTGTGTGCGATTACAAACGTGGTGCGACCTTGGCTTAGTTTGCGGAAGGCCTGCTGGATCAATGCTTCGATGGACGAGTCAATTGCTGACGTTGCTTCGTCCAGCAGTACGATTTTAGGGTTCTGCAGGAGCACGCGGGCAATGGCTATGCGTTGGAGTTGGCCGCCTGACAACCGTACCCCGCGCTCACCCACTTTGGAGTTGTAGCCATCTGGGAAGCCGACAATGTCGTCGTGAATGGCGGCAGCGCGGCATGCATCTTCGATTTCGGCGTCGGTGGCATCGAGTTTGGCGTAGCGGATGTTTTGTCGTATGCTTTGATTGAACAACACAGGATCTTGAGGTACGACGCCCATGGCATCCCGTAGACTAGCTTGTGTCACTGAGCGCAGGTCTTGGCCGTCAATCATTATCGAACCGCTTGTCACATCGTAGAAGCGGAAGAGGAGTTTGAGCATGGTTGACTTTCCGCCACCCGTCTCACCCACAAAGGCAATGGTCTGGCCACCCGAAGCCTTGAGATTTACGTCCTTGATGATAGGTTTACGCTCGTCGTAGTGAAAATGGACACCCTTGAACTCTACTTCTCCTTTCTCCACAACAATGTCCTTGGCACCTTCCTGGTCTGCTACTGTGGGCTTGGTGTTGAGCAGCTGGAGCAGGCGTTCGGCATCAATCAGAGAGCTGGTGATTTGCCGGAAGCTATAAGACAGAACGTAAAGTGGCGAAGTCATCGTATGCCAGTACATGATCAGTGTGACCAAGTTACCAACTGGCTTTCGTCCGGTAACGATTTGAGTCATGCCGAAAACACAGGCACCGGCGAAACCAAGGGTTGTTAGAAGATCTTGCGCAGCATGTCCGCCCATGGATCTGAAGTAGTATTGGTATTGCGCCGATATGGTGTTGATGATGTTTTCGGCATAACGCTTGTACTCATACGCGAAGCGGTTGAAATAAGCGACTGTTTGCCAGTTGTGGATCGTCTCGTTGACTGTGGAGCTTTCGCTTCGTTGCTTCTCCACGTAATCTCGTCTCTTGGGTTGCGACAGTGTAGTAAAGTAGAATCCAATCGCAATGTATGCTGCGCCCATGAACAGAACGATAAATGCCATGTATGCGTCGAACAGGTGGGTGACGTAGTACATCGCGACGAAGAGATCCAACAAGATTGGCGCAACGTCAAACAGCACCATTTCAATGAGTGTATTGAGTGAAGACGCCTGCTCAACAGCCTTCAAGACCTCACCCGAGTCTTTTGAGGTATGAAAGTCCATGGAGAGACCCAGGACGTGTTCGTAAGCTAGCAAGGTGATACGGCGATAAGCAGAATTCGAAATAACGAGATTTGCCATGCCATCGATGACTCCGAGTCCGGCATAACTGTTGATCCAGGAATACAGGACCCAGAGGCCAATGTCTTTCCATGGCATGACGCCGCTCTTTGTCTCGTACGCTTTCTGTAGTTCGGTAGTAATGATACCAAGTTGTCGAGGCGTAAGCAAGTTGAGGGCACGCTCCTGCAACATGTGCACCAGTCGGATGCCGAGGCAAGCCATGACCTTCCAGTCGTCTTTTGGAAACAGATATGGCAGGAAGACAGCGAAGCCTTTCAAGTAGCCGAGCCAGCCACCCTCTTCTTCGAGCCGTTTCGCTTGTTGTGCTTTCAAATCTTTGTCGTCTTCCTCTGGCGGACCGTCCTCGTCATCGCCAAAATCACTGCCGAATGGGATGGCGCCGTAGTCCATGTGAGAGCCTGGGCCTAACAAACTATCCGTTGATTTGTTCAGGAGCGATTGGCGCTCTTCGTCTGTGCTAACTTCGGTCTGTTTGGTGACGAGAACGACAAACGCATCGACCAGTAGGAGCAGTGAGACGAAAAACCTCACGCAGCTAATGATCAAAGGCGGGTACTTTTCTGAGAATGGTTCCGGCACGGTGGAAATTGTGATCAGGCAAGTCGTCGCCTCGAATGCAAACTGCACAACAAATGCTCCAAAGTACGCATGCCAGCGCAGTGATTTGCTTGCCCACAACATGTAAGACAGAGGACTCCAGACAAGTATGGAGCCCAAGCACCGTATGGCGAAGAATTGCGGAGCTGTGTATTCGGAATCGGCTATCGACCGGCTGAGGTAGTAGAGGACTTCTGTAATGTATGCCAGGAGTATTGTGACCATGAAAGCCAGTATGCTTATCCGTCTTTTCTGTGGCACCATTCGTGTTTTCTGTAAGATGCAAAGACCGAACATGCACGCTCCTAGGTAATAGAAGCCAACTGCAGGAGCGTGCATGTAACTCAGCAGCACTGTGGCCGAGTAGAACGGAGGTAGCGATTCGTCTTGATCCATGATGAGGGTCGAAGTGGTGGGTATGTTGAAGGTTCAGGAATCCCACTTGTGCCAGAGCTGGCCTGAGACGATTGTGGTTGGGAGGCAAACCACGCCAGTGTTTGGGGAGGCTGAACAGGCGACCTTTTATTCTTGTCCGCAACCCTTTTAAAGTAGACGCGATATCGCCAAACACCCCCGGTCCACAAGTGGCTTGAAAGAGGCCGCTGAGAGTACAGAGCCTAGAATCCTAGGAATTCGGCGTCAGCGAAGAGAGTCGAAAACCCCTGTTCCAAGAATTTGGGGGCTGTACGATCTGCAGCACCGCCACAAGACCGTCATCCGCTTGATGACAGCCGACGTATGCAGCCAAGGAAACGGGGAGTGTATTAGATTAGGAGTATGGCGTATAGATGCAGAGTATCTGCGCTCGGATTGATGATGGCCCGAAGGCGTGTTGATGTTTCGCAAAGAGATGCGCAGTGAGGGCAGGGCTGTGAGTTCTTGTATAGCGACAGGCCATGCCCTTGCTTGCACCATTCATTGCACCGGCGTTTGATGGCCAGGACAGGGTGATACATAGCGGGTGGGTTCTGCGTAGCTCCCACATACTACGCAGTAGGCTTTCTCCAGTCAAAATGCAGCAACGCTGGTTGCTGGCAGATGAGTGGGTGTGGCTAGTAAGTAAGGGCGCGGTCATGTCTTGCACCCCTGCTGCACACCGCTGCCTAAGCCTATACGCGCCTGTACGCTATACGCAGCAGTCAACCATGTTGCACCTCGGGGCTCCCGTGCGTTGTCGGGCAGCTAAAATTATCCCTGCCGAAGGTCCATTTGCTCAAAACGATGACCGATAAGAAGCGTGTATACGCGATGGCGAAGAGGTGGGGAGTCTAAATACTTACTATGCGCTTTCAGCGGGGCAGCTCCAGGCAGAAGTCTGACGGCACAAGGAGCGCAATACCAACGACGCCTCTTAGGCTCCATCAGCGCTGAAGTAAAGGGCGCCAAAGGAAGCCAACGAAATTGCAACGCGCGCTTTAGTCTTTATGAGTACATATCGTGGGCTGCGAGTGTAGGGCTGGAACATGGTGGTTAGCACGAATGCGGTTAGCCGTGCCGCAAACCACGTCGGTGACGCGATAGGCAAGGGTTAGTTCGACTACACACCTGGTACTGTCACCCACAGGCTGACGTGCATGTCATGCTCGGCGTGAGATACCCTCCCCTCCAAACCAACATGCAGCTATTTCACATTTCTTTTCTTTCCACGATATCATGGCCAAGTCTGCTTCTCTTCCTCAGCCCCGGATATAACCTCGTTCGCTATGAACACAATATAGCACGACACCTTTTTTTCCTATGCGAGCCCCAGTCCCATTTTGTCGATATCCCCTGGTTGCCATGCCTTCTCACTGCTGTCAGGGAAGAGCCTTCCTTTTGCCAAGGTACCTAGAAATTCAAGCTTTGCCCTTGTTCTGGGCACGACCAAACATTGGCAGTCCAAAAGACGACACCTAGTTCATCATGGCGGGCATCTTGCAAAATAGACACGGGTCCCGAGATCGGCCCACACGCCCCGCCTGTTCGCACGGCAGAGCATGGGGCCCGTTTCAATGCTTAAAATGACCGTCCATCCGTGCCAGTGTCACACCCGTCTTACGCTAATAGGGGGGCTGGATGTGTTTCCCAATTCGTGTCTTGTTCAACAGCACTAGATATCCTTCACCGCTTCCTGCGTTTGAACATTGCGAGCGTAGACTTGAAGACAACGCACATGTGTCATTTCCATCGAGTCAAGGGCGATATCGTGAACTCGTGACTTCAGTGACGAGGCATACCGGCATGAAACGTCTTACCCGCCAATCAACACACCAAAGAGTCCCTTCACGGTAAAGAAGAACAAACGAGTTTGTTCCCAAGGCATTCAAACTTCATTCACGTACCTGACCGGGCATGTGTTGTACATATATATATTCCGCTCTAGCCCCTTGTTCTCTGTAACTCGTACTGTGCACATAAATGTGTATACATCAATCTTGTAGAGTTGTAGCTTAGACACCCCGAAAACCAGCCCATCCAGAGTGAATTGCCCTCCCAGACGGACCAATCACATTAGTGGATGTGAGCGGATTCCTACTCTTAGCACAATACCATTTCACCCTGACCCTCCCATTGTTGAATACTCCTCACAACCTTATCCTACCTCTTCCCACCACCACCACCACCTCCTCCTCCTCCACCACAGTCGCCCCCTTTTCTCGCCGCCACCTCTTCTTTTTGCAAGTGCAAACGTCCAAATCTAACCTCTTCTCTGTACAGTTACAGCACCCAAGCGAAGCATTAACAAACAACACACAAGCACCCAAGCTGCGTCAAACAAACGAAAAGATGGATCTTCCTACCATACCGGACCGAAGTCGTGGCACGGGCAACCAAGACCTCACACTCACGCCAAAAAATACACACATTCACTGCGACTCATTCCGTGCAAACACCCCGCCCCATATAAACACACCAAATCACTCCCACAGCCCTCCCCCACCACAAACACCTCACACGCCTGCAAGTACAGCTCCGAACGCTTGCACTGTCGACGAGCCATCATACACCAGAGTAGCTGTACACACGGCCAAGTGTACCGAGTGCGACAAACGCAACATGGATACCATGCGGCGTTGCCCCGGCTGTACCTTTCAGGTCTGCCAGCCATGCTATGAGAAACGTCAGCGTCAAGGTAAGGGACTTGTCCATGGCAACATGCCATCCCCCGAGGAGACTGGAGTTGCGACTCCAAGTGGTGCTGGAGCGAGGGCGTCGAGGAAGAAGCCAGTAGGTAGTGCAGCCAAGGCCAAGAGTTCCGAGGAGGTCGACGAGGATGAGTCGAAGGAGTGTGCGGACAGTGCTGTCAAGGAAGGCAAGCACACTTCCTTTGTACCCAAGCCGACAGCAGGCAAGCGGTCACGCGGCCGCTCTTGCGTTAAGGACAGCGAGGCGGAAGAGTCGTCTGAGGGTGAGGGCGAGCTCAACCACGCATATCCCACTCCCAGTAAACGACACCAGACCCTCTCCTTTGCCGAGAGTGCTCTCGCAACCGCCACCAGGGCACCGCCAACCACTCGTGCTGCTTCGCGATCAAACCCAAATATAGCGTACCCAGCGCCTCTAACCCCACAGTTGGAGACTGCGCGGCCCCGGGTCCCAGTCACTTACTCGCGCGAAGATTACCCCTACGACGATCTCTTATATCAAAACTGCGTCGTTGGCTACGACGAGCCGCTGCTAACCCGCCGCGAGCCCGTTACACACAACCCAGCCGGACGCATCCCAGCCATCATGCAGCGAGGCGGCCGCCGTCGACCCACAGCCGACGAGATCTACCAGAACATCCAGAAGAAGGTTCGCGAAAAGTTAGAGAAGATGGAAGCTGATAAGTTGGCTGCGGGCGATACAACGCCCAGTGTACCTGCTCCACACGTAAGTAGTTGAAGAAGCTCTACCCAAATTCCATCTTCCGTTCTTCTTTTCAGGGTCGAATACTGACGATAGCGTAGCAAGCTCCAGACTACAAGACTGCCACTACTGTCCGCGACTTCGTTGAGAAAGAAGCAAAGAGGCACCAGGAGGCCAACAACCTTGGCGGAGACGACAGCAAAACCCTGCTCCGTATTATGTTGATTGAAGCAATGGGATGGGGAAAGAAAACATTTAAGAAACAGGAATATGGACCCCGGCGTCTGCTACTTCCGGGCTTGAACCTGCGTCTTGACAGGATCCCCAACAAGTACACTACCGAACTGGGCGTCTTGATGGATGGAGTTGCGGAGCACGCGTTGCATGAGTTGGATGAAGCGGCGACTTTGTCTGCGACCTCGCCGCCACCTCCGTCCGGCTGATGTTATGGTATAATGTGGGGTGGTGTCTTCGTCCACAGCATGTATAAGACGCCATCACCAATGTTCCCCCCTTGGGATTGCTTTTGCTTTGTATTCCTGCTTCTTTCAGCTGTGGACTATGCACACGGAATCCCGGAAAGTGAATAGTGGAGGGTCCTTGTATAGTAGTCGGGCACTGGTCATGAGGTTTGGCGGTAATTGTGGTGTTCATGCTTCTTTCGGCTGTGGACTATCCACGAGGGACCATATGAAGCCGTTGGTGGAGAGATCTTGTATAGTAGTCTGGCATTTGCCTTATGGGTTGATGGTAATTATGGGGAAAGAATCCAATCTCGTTCAACAGTATGATTTGACGAGCAGAGGAAATAATATTTCAATTCAAGATGCCATTCTTCGACTGGTGAGAATTGTGAGAAAGATGATAGAATATTGACAGATGCAGAAAAAAGGTATCTTGAACCTGCCTATGGTAACACTAGAAAATATGCGAATGGCAGAGACAATGTTGATTGAAAAGAAAGAATACTGAGGATAAAGGAGATATTACGGGTATCCGGAATGGGTAGTCATACAAGAAGGAGTAAAATAAACATCTGAAGATGCAACACATCTCTGCCTAGGAGGGCTCGAGCGAATACGTTATGGCGTTTGTCACGGATTTCCGTGTGTCTATCGTTGACCGAATTGTATCGTCAGCTTTCCGTTGGCTGGCTTAATTTGATCCAGCTCGTCCTCTCCTTGGCTGCCTACAGCGTTCTCGAGCCAGGTTGTTTCGTCGTCTTCGTTGTCACCGGCGGACGCTGGACGGCCGTGTCTGATGGACTTGAAGCGCTCGTTGAAAAGATGAGCATACTCGTTATTCTTGGACGGCTGCTCCGAGACCTCAGGGAGTGCGCTCGGTTGTGAAACAGGGATCAATTGTCTATAGGGGATGACATCAGAGCTGGGATCAAGAAAGTCCATAAATACAAGAGACTTACTCATTCGTTTCGGCGCAGATACGCTCCAGGTTCTCTCGCTGGCGGCGAAGCTCCTCAGGGTCGGGCTGAGGCACATTGTGAGTGCTGCTGGCGGTGCCATAGTTGGGTTGGTATTGGTCCCCGAGAAGATGTGAAGCGTCCGACTGCTACAAGGGGATATGTCAGCTGGTTTTTCATTACAAAAGCGCACACAGAGCGACTCACATCTATATCCGAAGTCCTCTGCCCTCCTAAGCACGATGCGCAAACACCCATTGCAATGTAAAGGGCGTGTTTCGTAGTGAGTAAAGCGGCGTTGGGAGGGCACAACAGCGGAGGCCAAAAATCTACTTTGTGAGTAGCTTAGAAGCGTGCAGATGGTGATCCCCTCGACACAGCGTGTTATCCAGTGCAGTAAGAAGAATGTTGCTATCACTTGTTGCGACAAGGGTTGGTTCCTTGGAGTTGTGATGATCGGCACCAAACATGTCCGGCCTCTTGGCAGTTTCTAGCCACATGCCTGTGCCACATTTGAGTACAATCACGTGACCTTGGGCGTCTACCACATCTTTTGAGATTCCAACATTCGTAGTAAGGTGGGTTGGTCATCTGGAGAATTTTCTACTGCCCTTAATTCTATTTGACATTTTTTGAAATTTCAAACAACATTCCACGTCTGGAATACACCACAGGTGAGTTGTCTGGCACTAATTCCACTCTGATTATGTCCGCGTCGCTATCTTGGTCTTGTTGACTGCACAAATGTTGAACGATGATAGCATCAGTCCCTCAAACTTCATACCCGTTAGCTCTCATGATGTTCGCCGAGTCAGTGCCTACAGCCTAATTCCTCCCAATCATACTGGGCTTCTGACTCGGTTAAATTCACTTCTTTGACCTTTGGATGGCTCAGATAAATTGGGTGTACAGAACCTGATACAACAACGCGGAATGTCAGAGATTCCGGTTGACATAGTTACATACGGCTAAGAACATGACTGGAATTCCTTTTGGTGTTTACCTAGCTGCTCGCATAATCAGGCGTGCTGGCCTCACGGCTATTTGACACCTAGTGGAATCCTTCGATGCATACCCACAAATCACTACCATTGCTCTTGAAAGAGACGTGTGGGTTCAAGCATTGCATTGACTGACAAGGGCTATCCTAGACATACGTTGCGAGGCGAGCCGCCGGTGTGCGTAAGGGTAAGCGCACCTCTTGGTTCATGAAGGCTGGTTGTACGTAAATACTTACCACGCCATCAGAATGCTGCACCAACTTTTGCTACAGATAGCATGACTGGAATTCTAGAGAAGATTAATGCATTTTAGCGCCCCTGTGAGTTGTGAGTATCGTTGTTCCTGTTGGGCGAAGTCGGCGGCTTGCAGTTGAGGCAGAATGCCTGTTCTGGGCTGTGATTGGTCGCACGCTCGGCAAACGTTGTACCACAATCGCATGTCCTACAAGGTCTGCATAGGCTGAGGAGGCTTTGAAAATAAGCAGAGGGTTTCTTTGGTCACAGCGAGACTGCATGGAGTCTGAACGCATGGGCTCCCGCTTTCTGTTTCCATCATGCAACAGCCAGCGCTGAACAACGATTGGGGGCAATAATGGAGATGGCCAGGTAGACATTCAACGGATCGTACACAATGCGTGCGTTGTATATCGCGGATTGGTGCGGGACTAAGTGTGCGTCCGTTCCGACATGCATATAATTTGCGGGAGCGCTATGGAAGGTAAGATCCACCCGAAAGGGTAAAGTCGTCATGCGCAATGCTCGTAGTCGCAACGAAACGAGCTGAATTGGTGAGCGCCAAAGAGTACGTACCGCCGGTACATGCGACTTGGATAGTCGCCCGCATCTGAGATGGAGCGAAATGAGGATGCCACTGAGCAGGTTGCCCAGCTCATCTGAATGAGCTGTTCCAGGCTCTGATTGGTTCATCCTGTGCTTTACATGCGTTCCGGCTAAGCACAACTATACTGATTGTAGCCCAATACGTCCATGTTACGGCCTAAAGATGGTTGATCGGTCGTAGGCCATGTAGGAACCATGTCTTGCGGGCCTATTGACAACACGTCGAGTCGATTTATTGGCCATGTTGTCGTGGTATCGCCTTATGCATCCACCCAGCTGCGTCTCTGAACCCAACCAAAAGCTACGGTACACGAGCGAAATACTGTATTATACCACGGGCGCTTAAGTCTAGTCGCTGTGTTAGGGCTATGATCACAAGATACTCTTAAGCTGGGGTGGCCCGTACCATTCTCGCACCCCTCTTCCGCGCTGCCAAAACCCCATTCTCTTGTACACACGGATGCACTAGACGGCACTCGAGGGGATATTAGTGGTATAAAATTGGCTATGACGCCTACGAGTGTACTGGTGAGCATAACTCAGGGACAGCGTGTGAAGGGCGATCGATCGCCTTTCAGGCCACTCAGCGTTCGCCACGTAAGTCGACATTTTCTGCCTTTCTTCCTGGCTCTTCCGACTAATATGGCACTCTCAGGACCTCAACTCTCTTCATCAGCATTGCCCATACCGATACCGTTGAACGATTGAAGGATAATCGAGCGCCACATGGACGAAGAATACGTCGCGATACCGGCAAACCATAGGAGGATCCTCAGGACTGAGCTCACGTCAAGCGTGAGGCTATCGATCACACGAGCATACCCTCTCTTACTTTGTCTCATTCATACTGTTACCCCTCTCTTCGACGCACGTCTTCCATTGATCCGGTACGCAAAGACTCACACTAGCAAGGGATAACAGAGTGAGAGGGAGTCAGCTGCTACGCCTGGTCTCGTGGAATACAACCCACCGAAGGGGTTTAAAGCCAACATCTCGGTGGAAAGGTTACGGACTGGTCTCAGCGGAAAGTTTTCGAGATACGCAAAATGATGTTGAGGTGGTGAGCTACTTGGTAACATAATGGTAAATGCGTTAAGATCGGCATATCTTCGGCCTAATTCGATGACGCTATCCGCCCCGACCCTTAGCGCCATCACGTGCCGACCGAGCTACGAAATTACCCCACCGCTGTCCCTCGACAAAACAACATCCTCATCGTCCGCTCCTCCACTCTTCCTATCCCGACTTTATCGTTTGGCTTGCTGCATGTCTACAACGCTCCCGTCAAAACTCTATTGCGCATCTCCCAGATATCGGAAGAAGCGCCGTTCCTTTGCCTGGGCCGTGCGCAACCACCTCTCCACTTCTATTCGCGGCTACGCGACATTCGCGGATTGGACGGGTTCAGCCCCCAATTCATGGCACAGCGGCTACGTTCACAACGACTGAGCATGTAGCCAATCATGAAAGCCAGGAGAAAAAAGATTGATTGAACTATCCAATCCCAAGAATATTCAATGACTGAAAAGAAGCGATTGTAAGAGGTAACGCCCGGTCTTCCATGTGCCGCTCCTCTTCCTTCAATAGCAGCTCTTCCTGCCTCATGTCGACCCCCGAAACGAAAGTTGAACGGGCTCAATTTGAAAGGAAATACCAAGACGTTGTACATGAAACGAAAACTCCCAGACGCCTGCGCCATGTCCACCCCGAGCTCAGTGAATCGCTTGCAGTCTGCGGTTACGCTCGTTGGTTAGCTCACAGATTTCCCCGTCCAATGCGCGAATCATCTCCATGGATTTCTCAATAGAGGCCGCGAATTTGTGAGCCTCGCGCTGCCATCGGCCGACACGGTCCACCTCAGCGGCTCGGCGGCGCATCTTGGTGTTGATCTTCTCGCAGAGCTTGCAGTATGTGCCAGTAGGAACCGTTTGCATGATGAGCTTCATGCCACACGTCTCGCCAATTCGGTACTCTTTAGCGCAGTGCTGGCGGAAATGGCCCCACTTCCAATCGCCACAGACAAAACGGTGCTGGTCGTAGAAGCACATGTTTCAGAGTAGAAGAGCTGTGTCGTCTGGGGTTCGGTTATACATTAGCCTTGGTACTCAAGCTTGGATTACAGGTCTCCAATACGTACGTATTACTCCTTGTTCAAACACTGGACCTGCTTGATAGGACCAGCGATCTCGTACCTGGAATCGGTCGACTCAGGGGTCTTTGACCTCCGGCCTCAAGAGCACATACACTGGATGGTTGGATGATAGAGAGCCTTGAACAACAATGATCAATGTCTAAGGGGTAGAAGGTGGGTCAGTTGTTGGACTCGATGTCACAAGAGTTGGAAGATGCTCAAAAGATCTCGTCAACGACTGGAGGTTGCTATTGAGCTGAGTGTAGAGCCAGACTGGAAGCAGCAGCATACCGCTATTTATCCTTACGGACGCATACCTCTCGCCGACCTCATGGGCCACTCCTGGCACCCGAGACTGTTTCGTTGTCAGACCATAGATTGCTGCCATGGCCTATCCTTCCGTCGACGTGGTTGCACCCCACCTCGTCCCGTCCAACGACATCGCTACGATTCACAAATCCCTTTCATTCTGACGCTAAAACAATGCGGAGACGGGCTGCAATGGAACCCTAGGCCGTGCCGGCGTTTCCAGCTGCAGAGAGTTATCACATATGCTAGGGGATCAACGTGTCGTGGCTTCACGAACCACGTAACCCTGAGTTCCGGATGTGAAAATCCCTCATCTTCCTTGTCGAATTGCCTTAGCGGGCGCTCCGGGATGTTGTGGTATGTCGTTTTCGAGCATTCCGGGCCTCTCATGCTATGGGAGATGGAGCATTTCTGAACCGAGTTCTGATCACGTGCTATGTGGTTCATGCCGAGTCACAGTCCGCTCCAGATATTCTTTCCTGGGAGAAACAAGCGATTGGCCAATGATGTCCGCTGAGATACCAACAGCGGACGCCAAAGGAGGAAAGTACGCCAACAAACCCTGAGAGCCCTGGACACCCCTTCTCCATTACGAGCTACGGTCAGCCGTTGCCAGATGCATTGGCCAACATATGGAGCGCATGTAGCAGCGGTGCTCTCGATTGGGTGTTTGTCCGTCCTCGAGATTGCTAACATGAAGCACACCCGTGAAATTTCGGGCGTTTGCCGGCTCGTTACGCTCAATATTCCAACACCCCCAAGCTGTTGTATGTGACCAAGCTAATCAATCTGTGTAGCATCACTCAGCTTCACCGATGGCGCTCTCTTGCCTCTCACGTCCACTAAAGACTATTATTCGCCCCTCGTCGCCTGTCCGCGACTGCCGGCCTCTACACGACGGACCCAAGCTGCTCTCGGCCAGTCACCTTATCTCCACTCGCTGCAGTACTACATGTTAGACATTACGTCCGATAATCCATCATTGCCACTTGCATGGAACACTAGCAACCTCCGCATGCATATTGCCTTGCATAGACTGGGCCCTCCATTCAGCTGATCTCTATCTCCACTCAACGGCTGGCGTTTACCGTGGCCGGCCCAATGTTGACTAACTAGGCCCTGCACGCTGACAGGCATACCTCACTCAGATAACAGGATGGCGTGAAGTTTATGCGGAACCTAGCCCGCCATCGCATGTCGAAGCAATCACCTGGACTCCCTGGGCAGACACTAGAACCGCCCAAAGCCTGCCCCATCGGAGATCCTCTGACGTGGCGAGCGGTATGTGGTTGATCGAGGAGGAGGCTATATCCCTGAAATTCATGTCACCATCTGTCATAGGTTTGATGAATGCATCGGCGTTGGCTCGCCTACCTTTCCACGCATAATCAGCATGGAATGCTTGCCTCTGGCGGCCTATGAAGAGGGCTCCATGATTCCGACCTTCTTACCGGTGAAGCCGTAAAGAGGAGACTCCAGGTGTGAGCATTTTGCTGCAGTCTATGCGGTGGCAACATGATGCAGCATGTTTCCGTCAATCATCCCAACCAGTCTGCCTCGTTGTCAGATGAGGCAACAAGTCCACATTGCCGGACCAATTGCTTGTACAGAGATAGATTGAAGTGTACGGCCATCATGTTTTTACTCGAATTGAAGACTAGAGATCCATGGCTCATCTGCAGTAAAGTGAGTGTATAACAGCGGCTGCCAAAAGCTGAGGTGGTGTTGTGGTGCCGTCCGACCTAAGGACGGCCCTCGTGTCATGCACGGAGCCACACCAACCACCACAACAAACATGAGAGCTGCGGCCATTGCTGCGACCGTAGGTAGCTTTGCAAATAGCTGCGCAAACAATTGACCCATTGACCAACTTAGCTTGTTTTGGCATCTCTGACGCGGTGATGTGAGTTTTCATCATTCTGACCGCAGATGAGGCCTGTGTTGCCGTCCTCGAGGGAGTGCAAAGGCGACTGATTATGAATTGACGTTGAAACTTGCTACACGGCACTCCGCACACGCTTGCTGTCATGTGAGGGCAAAGCAATGCTGGGTATTGCGTGGGTACATGAACGGCGGAGAGACTAGGAGGAAGGTCGCACGCAATTTTGATCCCGAGACGAGTAAGTGCTGTACTTGTGTGGGTCAGCGCTGCGGTCGTTGGCGTCTTCGGTGCATGGGAGGACCAGGCTGCATGTTTGCGGATTGGCGGGTGCCACTGACAGTGGGTCGAATCGGCCTCGCCAGCCTGGGTGCATGTCCCCGCTCGATGAGTGAGATGGTTGGCTGGCGCACATGAGGGGAACTACATACACGTCCATCGAGACACTGAGTGCTCTCGACGGCGGTGAAGAAGGATTAGATTAAGCTAGCAGGTGTAGTTATCAGATACAGGGCGCTATAAGGGGTTGCAAAGACTTCACAGGTACGACCTTATCTACGGTGGTATGGCCATCAGGACTGGATGTCTCCAAGAGGCAAAAGAGGAGACCCGCCCGTCTTGGTGGCCAATCTGCCCAGTATAGGTGGGACGGTTGGAGTGGCGGCATCTCAGGCTGAAAGCCTTGCTCCGCCTTCGCCTTCGCCTTACCATGGAGGAAGCATGCGCATGCCTGCTGGGAGAAGCTCGCTCGAGCACGGGAAACTGCTACATGCAACCAAGGTCTAGCCGCATATGCACGAATGAGGAGGGATCAGGGTACAAGTCTATGTTCTGGCTGATTCCACGCGTCGTTTCTGGCTAACGGATACACGAGTGGCTTGTCAGACCGATGACGGTGTGCAGCAGTGATCAAAGACAAAGAAGATGGGCCACCAGCCAGATGTGTGTTGTCAATGCGAGGGCTGCCGAGTCCATGTGTGTATTGCATGAATATAGCAGCCAAAACGGTCTTGGGTCACTGAAGTGGCCGGGACAACAATACGCTGATCCGGAGGAGCAAGGGAACAGCAGGATTTTTTTCGTAGTCAACCCGAGATATCTCATGCATCTAGTTTAGGCAAAGAGAATACGGCGGAGATGCCATAGTGGCGCCTACATGTCAAGCATATTCCAAACTATGTACTGCACAAAGAGGGGCGCGGGTCAGCCTCCGTTGAAGGCTTCGTCTCCGGACGCGGAAATCGCTGCTGGTTTCGGTGCGTATAGCAAAGTATGAGCTCGGTACGCACTGAAGATGTCATTGAGCATCGAGCCTAGGAAAATGGCACCAAAGCGTATCGAGCCTGAACGTGGTCTAGCGGACTCTTGTGCTGTCTCGAGCCGTCCACATGCACAAGATGGCTACTATACACCCAGCGCCACCAGCCTTACCACTGGCATGTTGTGGGAATGTATCAATCAAAACACTGGGCGCCGTATCCACCCAATTGGTGTAACAGATTGTAATAACAAAACCATGTCCCGTCTATTGGGTCGCAACACCTGTTAGTCGCAGAGTCCAGCAGTCGAATGAGCGGTGACGAGCGAGTATTAGTAGTCAGAAGGACCGATACCACATGCATGGTAAGCGTATTACCCTTAGATCAGCAAAGTGGAGAGCGACGAGACAAGAGCAACATCAAAGTCTTGGACTAGTTCTATTGCACGGCAGAGGTCAACGACCTGGTCAGCGCGAACCGCAACTTCAGAGTGGCCGACGTGGCGGCCCAGCGCTAGACGAAACCTTGGAGTGTTGAGAAGCGCCCACCGGTCTCCGGGACAGTCCTTTTCCCTGGTCAAGACGGTACCAAAGGTGAAACCAAGGGAAGGCAGAAGAGAGATGAAAAATCTCCGCCTTGTAGAACTCAAAAAACGGCGTCATTAGCTCGGAACAAAGTCCGCACTTAGGACACTCGCGGGTGCAGCTACGTGCGTCATTAGCCTGCATGTCGAACATTCTTAAGCGAGACAAGAGCGGACGTCTCTAGCCCGAGAACCGGCCACAAGCATGATGACACTTGCACAGAATCACTGTCCTTGCCGGATCATAAAAGCCATTGTCAGCCGTAAGTTTGTCGGAAGATAGCGGCGAGGCTTGCCGGGAAGGGCGGCCTAGTATCGTATGTCGTAGCAAAGTAAACATGTCCAATTGGTCGGATTGATGCTACTAATATACAAACAAGACGTACGCGGAATGTCATTTCGGCAACGCCAACCCGCGTATACACATCTTGGGTACAGTATGCTGGACATTCCCTCATTAAAGCTATACGAACGGCTGATCATGGTACTTGCTTTGCTATATCGGAGGTGAAAACTGGGCCAGCGAAAAGAATCTTTTGCATGAAAAGAAAGTTTCAATGTTCAGTGGATCCTAGTATTACTAAAACGTTATTGTGTCAATGGCCAAGCGGACCGTGACTAGGTCTCTTATAGCAGTCCCGACGTTATCCTGACGAACCTACATTGCTCTCTCATGGTACCCAGCATACTCGGCCAGATGTTACACATTGGATACATGTCATTCAAATGATATCTCCTTCCCCAATAGGGGGTTGTATTAGTCGTTATCTCGCAAAAAACTGCCGCGATAGCAGGTCTGATATGTTCAAGCGCCAAGGTGCTTCATTCGAGCATTGTGCAGGGATCCCACGACCACTCTGCGAACAAAGAACATGGGCGCAGGAAAAACTGACGTGGATAGCTCGCGTATGTGCCTATCAGGGAATTTCTTTCTCTATTGTGTGGGCATAGTGTATGCACATACATACGTACGTTGGCTAAGGTTTCCCCTCCGCGTTTGGAAGTCTTATCCGACCCAGCCTTCTCCAACCACCATCCCATGTCTTGGGGACTTCAATCGCATCAGCCGTTTTGTTTTTGTTTTGGCGCTATATATACTGTCGTATAACAGGCTACTGCAAAGCCCAGACTCCCGCCGCCCAATGCTCGCATGGACATGGTATCTGCGCAAATTGACCGCGTGACGGGTCAAAAACCAAAGTCTTTATATCGACCCAGCTCGTGCGGTACGTTGAAGTATCCGATCCCGCCCTGAAATGCAATCATCGCCGATGAATATTATACTCTAGTTTACATCCGTTCTCGAGCGGCCTTGATGAACATATCAGTAGCGGATGACACAAAATTATGGAACATATTCGAAAAGGTGATTGAACAAACATACCGTCGATGGATCGATGATCGCAACCTTGCGACTGTCCCTGGTCTTTCTTTAAACACTATTCCGTTCAACTAATAGGGTTTTTTGGTTTACGATATTCAGCTAGTGGATCCACACGTTGCTTCAACACATCGTGGTAGAGCACTTATCCACCGGGAGAAACCACGGCCGTCGGGTCATGGCACTGGTACCGATGACTAAGGATGCGGGTTAAGTTCGAGAAGGAGATTTATGTACCTCGGTTCGCTTTACATTGTAAAAGCGAAGTATCACGCAGTACACGGACGCTTAATGGAATCGATACCCATGACTCGATGTCTGAGGAACATTTATGATCCGTCCCGCAGGGTACGCCAGACCCCGACATCATGACTGCCGACCTCAAAACTTCCATACTCGAAGTGGATAAACAGCACTTCTGTAAAGCCAACACATGATATCTGACCAATGCACTCCTACTCAACACAACATTTCGATTCGACTGGCGATATGAGTTTCTCATTCTGAAACCTCGAGCTGAATTCTCTGCGCTAAAACCCGATTTGGGAAATCGGTCGTCCACATCCGTCGAGATCGGCTGGCGGCTCTTACTATCGTCAGCACGGGATCGAAGCTTAGTGCTCAAATCAGGACGTGATGCGTGGACAATTATCACCATCGGCCCCCTTTAATCATCTGCCAGATGTTTTCACGACGATCGTATTTCTTGTGGACAAGTCAAACTGAAGTTGAAAAGTATCCTCAGCTCCACAATTAGGAACATATACAAGTTATGCACGTGCATACAACTGGTTGATATCTCTGGAGCTCGATTCCATTCGGCCAACTCCTCCGCAAACAACCCTTTCCGCATTATCCCGCTGCCAATCAACTCAGTTTGGGCTTTGAGTTATATTCCTGACTTTGTTCGATATCATAGTTCAAAAAACGCGTTGAAGTTGACCTAACAACGAACTGAACTGTCGCTCCCCGTCAAAACATAAGGATTGTAGGCTGCGTTTTCCATTGCTTTTGAGATGATCTTTCTAATCCAGTAACACAGCAAACAAAAGATGAGTGGCTCTCATCCGACAACAATTCATAGCGCAGGAACATCACCACTACGGCATCTGCATGTAAATATGTCAACTCACACTGAGAAGTCGTGTCGAATAGAACGAAACTCAACATACAGCAGATTCAAAATATTAGACTCTCGTACCAATTACTGAACAGAGGTGATGATAAAGCCGACGGTACATACGCATACAGTGAATCCATCCTTCAAAACAAAGAAATAATCTTCAGACTCCACATCCAGACTTCCAAACCCATTTCAACAATCGAATCCCGTAGTAAAATACTATTAGTCTCTATTCTAACCCTCCCCATCCTTACCTATGCCCAGAATGAACTGATTGGTGTGTATGTGGTAAGGGGGCATATCCAAGTTATCCCTAAGGCATCACCAACACCACATATTTCATTTTGGAGAACTTCAAGGGAAGTGAGATCAGCGGCATTGACTACGTAGCGAAGCTTATAGACAAGGACGACTCCAGAACTTCCATCATACGCTGCGATCAACCAAGATTCAGATACACCTGCGAAAACAGCTGTACGTCATTATCACTGTCTCACCTATAGAATATTTCGAGTATAGAGCAATACAATGCTGATGAACGGAAAATGTTTTGAACAAATGGAATCTTCATTCACTAATGAAGGATGATTATTTCGGTCGTGTAGTGACCCTCGGACTGAAGATTGATCGTTCGAATGCTTATATCAGTATACATAATCAACAAGAGTAAAATGGCTTGAGATGAAGTCCTTTATAGGACCGGACGTCTGTAATAAAAATGCATAGGGTGTAGCTTTGGCTACTTGCTTCGTTGGAGGGAGATGACTCTTCGAACCACATGTTTACCTACCAATAGCTTATTTAGCTGTTTCCATTTACCATGCGTCATCATAGTATCACATACAGAAGAACCAGAAGCATATAATCAAGGACGTCTAATGCATCTGCCCTAAACACCAATCAGCAATTTTGCTCATGTGGAAATCAAGTGAGTTGTCCAGAGAACATTGTAAGCAGTAAGCCCATTACAAGCATCAATCTAGCCAATTACAGCTTGCCATGTTCCAACCTCGCATCACCCAACTCCATTGCCGCTTCAATATCCACGCACCTCCTGCACCAAGGCGCACAATCCGTGTCAACTTCTTTCTTCCAACTCCCCCGTTCCGCATATCATCCACCCCAAAATGCCTACTACTAGTCCGACTCACAGCCATCTACAGTCAAGTAAACGCATGTTTTGAAACTTGCATATACCCTCAAGGCATGACTACTCGGTTCAATTTACGCAAAGCCAATCTACAGTAACATATCGCTGTGCCAGACCCACAGGACTTTGAATCTAAAGAGCCACATACTGAGCTTCCGTTACCTATTGTGGCCTCGAATCGCCCAGATAGTATAATCGGTACCAACAGCATGGGACCCATAGAAAGACGAGTCAACCCATTATGATATCACGAGCGCAAATGGTTCTGAATCATATTTTGGGTGCAAAGAGTAACAGCCTGGAATCAGTGGTACACTGTGAATAAATTCGATATGGGCTGTCGTATTCAGATGTATTCAACCCACGGGCTTATACCAACATCCATCGCTTAACATCTTCGCCAATAATGCCAGCAAGTTTAGCCGGATATCACATGCAATTTCCTCCAATCCCATCATACTCGCATTCATAACTTTCTACCCAAACAACAACAAGAAATAGATAGGTCAAGAGAATTGATCAAAGCCGTCGAAAGCTCTCACAACTAGCCAAATGGTCCAAAGTCCAAATATTCAGCGATTCACACAACGTTTTGGTTCGCGAGTCACGCTTATAAGCTAACCCAGCTTAGTTGCATAAGAAAAAAAAGCAAAATACAAATTTCACAAGCGTTTCTATCTTCGTACCCTAGCTACACAGCATGTCCTTCCCCGTACGAGCATGGTATCCCCCATCTACACTAACCACTCACCCCCAGCTGACCCAGCCAAACCCAAGCGAGGCGGTCAAAAACCTACAAAGCGCCCTCAACTTCCGCCCTCTTCCGCTTCATTCCCAGAAGAGACGTTGTTGCGAACTCACCGCCGCAACAACTTCCATCGAGGGTCAAGCGCTGATCCCGTGATTGCCATGGGTACGGTACTACCGTAACCCCGCGCGCTTCTTTGCACCTCAGCAAACGCGCCTTTTACGCCCTCGACCACTGCGCTGCGAGCGTACAGCTATTCCGCCTGTAACTCTTTATAGCGCATTTCTTTGGTCGAAAATTCCCAAAAAGCGCCAATACTGCCCCCACCCCCCCTTTCCAGCGACCTCAGTGACGCAAAACATGGCTGTTCAATCTCATGCACACACACACCACCTATAACCACCACCGTCAGCACATCATGTCCCCACCCCAACATAAACACAATACATACCTTTCAACAAAACCCCCGTCTCCCTCCTTTTTCTTTCAAACAGGCATCCTGTGCCTCTTACTCAACCGTCTCCTCGCACGACTCTCCTTGCGCCCATGCACCTCTTCAATCGGTATTTCGCCATACCCGCTTCCCAGACCAACAACAGCCTCGCTCTCAGCCACACTCGCGCCGTCTCTCAATGCGCGCCGCTCTTCGCGCCCGCTCTCGCCTTCTCCCTCGTAGAAAACACCGCCTAGCCGCCAGTTGGACGCCGAAGACTCATACAGCGCATTTGTCGATGGTCGCACGAGAACGCGGCGGGAGCGCTGCAGGTGCGAGACGTCTGTGGTGTGGGTGGTGGCGTCGCGGCGGAAGAGGTGGTCTGGGAAGATGCGTTTGAGGAAGCGGGGCATCTTTCGTGCTTCTTCAAGGGATATATGTGGATGTATGCGCTATGTATTTGTTTGTTGTTTTATCCGCGGTTCTTTGTGCGCGCGCGCGCGGGGGGGGGAGGGGTTGGTGGTGGGGAAAATAAGTTATGTAGGTAAAAAAGATTGGTTCGGGTGCGGGTGCGGCGGTGCGCGATGGAACGGTAGTTCAAAGATAGAGAGATGTATCTATGTAACGTAGTAGTTTGAAACGTATACGTACAACGTAACTGCAGGAATATACAGAAGAAAAAAAAGGTCCAAAAAAAGATGTTTATGCAGGGACTTTTTCTTCTACCCTTTTTCCGATTTGTCCTTTATTTTCTTTCGGGGAGGGGAGGGGAGAGAGAAAGGGCAAGCTTATCTAGGAGTAAGGGTCCCGTGCGGAATTAATTGATTGGGGTGGCGAGGGGGAGGGGGGGGGGAGGCGGGGAGTGGGCATGCGGACGGTGGGTGGGGTGGGCAGCAGGCCAGACTATGCGAAACAGTAGGGGAAACACGGTGGCTGATTGGTTGGTAATAAATGGGGTTTCGCAATCTGATGTGCGGGTACGGCTGAAGAGGCCGTCTTTGTCGTGTCCCAATGTACGCGTACAAAGCTGCATCTGGATATTTTTTTTTAGCTGAGGGCGTTGAGGGCTCGCGCGGCAGCTAGCGGAAAAGGTGCGAGCCAGTCGTCAACTGTTTGGCTATGATGCGCTGATGGGCGAAGGGCTAGCTGATGGTTGTTGATTTTTTAACTGGAGCACCTTAAAGTAATGATCCTTTCATGACGCCCCAGATTGGATACTATCCGGTGAAGCCGTTGGTTTGCCAAGTGCATTTGGTTGGATATCTAAATTCCAATTCCCATTATCACCACATGACCCGTGTGAGCAGCTATGTGTACCCGTGACACATCTGGATAACGCCCTTTTAACCTTGGGCGGCCTCCTTAGATCGCAACCCGGCTCCAGAACTTGATCTCCATTAATTATCGCTCACCGCTGACGCCCAAACCCTTTAGTACCCGAATCGCCATGTGTGTTTCAAAACACCAATGCACCGTCTCTATTCCCACCCATCTCTCCACCCTCATTATTCACAAGCTACAAAATTGTCAAGATGTCTCCAATCATTACCTCCTTCTTGTACTTACCATGTATGCCTCGTAAAAGAAACTCCCAGCCTCACCAATCAGCCTCCACCCATATATCATCTTCCCCACTACTCGCGCCCATTGCGCACTCTCTCCATCGACTTGCAAAAAGCACAATCACGACAATGGACTTGTCGAATACGTACCATTGTATCAATTGGTACATACGGCCTAGACTGCATCTCTTGAATGCCATCGCCACTGCTGTGCTCCGCCCATCTGAGAATCTCGCTCCACCTCATAACCTGATGTTCCGATTCTGGTTCATGAGCCCCGTCGCTGGACGTCTCATCATGAGCAGCTGGTTCAGATATCGCGATGGGCGTTGAAGCGGGACTCGGCGCCGAGTCTGCTTTGGTGATGGCGGGTGCATTAGTCACTCCTTGGGTATGTTGGCGGCTCGCAATGTGCGCCCATGTGGTACCCTGTGCAGCTGTACTAGACAGTTTGACTGGAGCTGGGTAGTAAGGTGAGAAACCCGCAGTGGCTTCCTTTGGCGGGACTTCCTCGTAAGGCTCCTCTTCGTATTCCTCCTCGCCCTCGTCCTCCTCAACATCCCATGGTGTACTGTTGTACCCGTGATCTCTGATATAGCGGATCGAACGCCGCTGTTCATACATTTCCACCCTGATGATGGCGCTGCCTAGACACTTCCCATCTGTCTCACGCTGGGCACGCGCTGCGTCGCTCGTGGTCCGGAAGCCAACGACGATTGTTGTGATACTGCTCCCTTTGTAGATGTTCTTGTAACTTACCGGGCGATAAGGTGAGAACAGCTCTTCAACCTGGTCATCAGCGACGTAGCTTGGGACGTTCTTAACGAAGATGAGGCGTTCATTTGACACCCTGGTGCCAGCGACTAAAGTCATGGTAGTAATTGAGTGGTTGAATTTTGGTTGTGTGGCGGATTTGTGGAAGCAATACGCAGATGAGCTAACTTTATAAAAGTAGAGATATAAGCGCGAGTGAAAGGTGATCGGAGGCAGTCTTGGTCCCAAAAGGTTTTTGTCTACCCAAGGTGGAGGTGAAGCGGAATCAATCACATGCAATCAGCGCTCACTCGCCCGCCAAGCATGAGGAAGGGGAAATTCCAATACAAATGTAATATTATTTGCCTCATTGGTGCGCTTGCACTGACAGGAAGGTGCACTCACCAAGGGTAGTATGAGATCATTCAAGAGGCGCCAAGGTGAGGCCTTCCCAAGGTACGCTGTGAGAACACGTGTACCTGAGTCATTCAAACTGTATGAACACCATTTCAAGTAGCTTGAGTAATGAACCAAAGCGCTCCTGCAACACATGGTGTCAAAGCGGTTATGCGTGACGATGATACCTACGGTGCGGTGCGCTCAAAGCCGTTAGTTACACCTTCACCTTGGTGCTAGTTGATATGATCCTTCACAGACAGGGAATATTCACCAGTACCAGGGTAATCCTTAATCTTGGCTATTATATCACAAATGAGTTACAGATGCCTTGAGAGTCTTGGAAACTTCCGGTAACTTGAGAGACGAACACATATAGGGCGAGCCGACACATGAGATAAAATTACTTTCTATAATCAAACATTGCATGTTCACACTATCGAGATATCATTCTATTTCTGTTTCATATACTCAGACATCTAGACAATGACCTTGTGTGGCGCTTCCTTCTCTTCGGGCTCGTCGAAGATGTTGACGGGCCACCTGGGCTTGTTGGCAATGTAAGGAATGTTGAATCGCCTTCGCTCCTTCTTTCCAATCTCCTCGACCTTCTGGAAATCCTCCTCGGACAGTTCAACCTCCTTGAAGTTCTCCTGGATGCGTGAGGCGGTAACTGACTTGGGGATGACGGAGTGGCCGCCTACTTGAGCCCAGGCGAGGATAACTTGTGCGGGGGTAGCGCCAATTCGGCTGGCAACTTCTTTGATGGTGTCGTGCTGAACGAGAAGAGGGACGCCGAGCATGTTGTTACCGAATGCCTGAAATTAGGGTTAGTGCTGTTCGAACGATAAGTTGGAGGGAAAGCATGTCTTACCGAGTACTCGGTGACGTGAATGTTCTTCTCCTTGCAGTACTGGATGAGTTCTGGCTGGAGGAGACGTGGGTGACGTTCGATCTGGTTGGCAGCGGGTGTCACACCGGTACCGTCAATCAAAGCCTGGAGGTGCTCCTTGGTGTGGTTAGAGACACCGACAGCGCGGGCCTTCTCCTTAGGCAGCTGTGTCATGGCCTTCCATGTGTCGACAATTGAGACTTCATCCAGCATCTTGACATCCTCGCCCTCCAAGGGGAAGAGGTTGCTGTGGACATCGGACCGCTCGTCAAAGGCAACGGGGAAATGGACGAGGTAGAGGTCGAGGTAGTCGAGGCCGAGCTCAGCCAGGCAGTCGTCGAGAGCTGCCGGTACGTCCTGTGGACGGTGCTGAGAGTTCCAGAGCTTGGATGTGATGAAGACGTCCTCACGCTTGAGGCCAGGGACCTCACCACCAAAGGCCTTCTTGAGGGCTTCCGCAATCTCCTTTTGGTTGCCATAGACCTTGGCGAGATCCAGATGACGGTAGCCAACCTTGAGGGCCTCAAGAACGGCAGCGCCAACCTGGCCAGGCTCAGCTTGCCAGGTACCAAAGCCCAATTGCCTGGAAAAAAAAGTAGTCAGTGAATGTCATCATATGTACGTACTGTGCTATTGAGGTACTCACGGGATGGTAGCGCCAGTGTTGAGGGTAACCTTCCTTCCGAGAGACATGTTTGCAATTAATGTGAATGGGGTATCTTGGAAAAAAAAGTAAAAGAGTCTGTGATGAGCTAAAGTGCGGGTGCTGGGAGCTATTAAAAGGTAGTCTGGGGGAAAAGTTGTCGGAGGTGGGGTGGAGGGGTCGGAGACGTCACCGAGCCTCAGGTCGGCGGCATATCCAAGTCTAGCAGTCTCTCCGCACGTAGGCTTCCTCCGAGATCCACTCAAGCTTGCATCATGTGGTGCTCAGACTGCGTGGCATGGCTAGATGCTGGATCTGAGAAGGCGTCATCTCTTTGCGGGCCATGTGGCTAGCGAGATGCGTTGCTGAGATTGGTGGAACAATGGCGGCCAACACGAAACCTCATGGCCATTCCCAGCAATTTCGTCAAAACACCTGTTGCGCTCGCCAGCCACACCGGATAAATTTGACGGTAGCCTAATCGAATTGGAGTTGGAATCCATTCTTGGATTGAACGCGCTTCCATCACGGTTCCATCTTGGAAGCTACATGTGATATTACATAAGCAACTGATTTTTCTGTCCTTTTCATGTACGCTACAGTCTGCTATTATTTAGTAATACAACTATAGTCTACGTAGTAGAATACAACAACCAGCTCACTCAAAGCTCATACAAGTCATCGTTGTTGTCACGATTGGAGCCAAGGTTGGGGGAGCCACCTTGTCCCAACAAACTAAACGACTCCATTTCTTCTATACTTGGAAAAGAATGAAGACCTGTGCGAGTCTTTGTCGACACGGTCCTGGTATAAGATGAAAGAGCTGGGTCAGTAACCGTCCCAAATGCAGATGCAACAGCAGCAGACACTAATGTAGTTGGAAATTGTGGAGCTGGAGCTGGAGGATCTGCTGCATCAGGTACTGTCAATGACGGTGCTCTGTCCCTCTGCTCGTGATCGTCTCGAACCCCGCCCAAACACAGCCAAAATCCTTCGCCAAGACCCATCCATAACTCCAGAAGACGCAGATAAGTAAGTTTACATTTCTTGCTGACTAGATCCTTGATTCTAGTCCCAGTTCGACCGATGGCACGGTACGAGACAGACTCCTAGTCATCGCTGTCGTATTCTTCGTCGTCAGCCAGTAGTGCAGGGTACTGCCGACGGCGGAGGTCTTGCTCGAGGCCGCCTTCAGATTCGGGATCGACATAGCCCTTGCCTCCTACAATTGAAAGAAGGACAGGAAGTAGAACAAGAGCGTGAGTAGAGGCCCAAAGCACGAGAGCGACCCATACGCGGAAGTAGTAGATTTCGAAGATCTAGCAAATCATGTCAGTTCATGCGCACAATATACTGATATAAGATATATAAAACGGATGGCACATACCTTGCTCCTAGTGAAAGCCAACACTCCTACTCCTAGGATCTTCGTGATGGTAATTCCGCTGACCACACTGCTCGCTACATTGACCATGGCCGTCCATGCGCGGGCATCACGGCCCCGGAAGCGGTGTCTCGGTGCCCGCTCCATAGTCGCACGACTTGGGAAAGTGAATGCTCGAGCGATATGTGCCGTGAACTCGACGCTAATACCCACACAAATGATGAGGTTGACCAGTGAGACGGCATTGAGCGAAACACCAAGGACAGCCATAGACCCGATAATGGCGGAGACCGTCATACCAACTACCAGCGTCACAACCAGTGCGGTGACGATGGAGCCGAGCATGATGGTCGTGATGACAAGTACTGCCGCTAGAGCAGATCCAATCAGAGCACCAGCCAGGCGAACAATAGATACGTACTGGTCGAAGAAGATGTAAAACTTCGAGTATGGGAACACCTCGGCTTCGACGTCCTCCGATATCTCTTTGGAGATGCGGCGCGCTGCCTTGTATGCAGAGATGAAGTCTTTCTGCGAGCGCAGCGGGGTATGCGAAGTACGGAAATGGGAGGCGGGAATTGTTAAGTGCTTGGAGTCAATGACAAGAGCATCCGAGTACGCAGCTTTTCCGCCGATGGGACAATCTTCAGTGGTTGGAGCCTCAACCCACTTTTCCAAGTACTTGATGAATTCCTCGCCTTCAGGCATACCATAAAGAGTCATGTTCCAGGATGGTTGGCGATCTTGGAAACAGGGCTTGCCATTCTCCACACAGCACTTTTCGTTTTCGGGATTCAACCACAGGAAGAAATCGTCAAGCCAATTTGCGGCAGAAGCTGCAAGATACGAAACTTCGGGGCGCTTGCGCTCTGCTTCGATGATGTTTGCCAGACTGCTTCTGTCACAAGCGGAGAATCGTCCACAGAGCTCTTTTTGCGGCTTGCGCTCAGTAACGTTGAGCTCCTTTGTGACGAAATAAACCGGAGGACCGACATCAAGGTAGTTGTATAGGTCGTTGAAGAAGGGGATTAGGTAAGAATCGCTTGGAATAGCAATACGTTGATCCAGACCAAGCTCAACTTGGGGGAACAGAGCAATGCCAGCTGTGAAAATTCCGAAAAATAGTGCGAGAATGCCAATCTTGGCCTTCTTACCCAGAATTGCTGGAGCATATGTCTTACGTATGAAGCGTTGTAGTGCACCTTCCTCTCCCACTGCAAAACCCATACCGACTGGATCAGCGCGCTTAACGCGAACGCATGGGAAGCAATCCGCACGGTTTGATTCAACACGTTCCTGGTTAAGGGAAAGTACGGCAATGAACATGGTAACCTGGAGAATGGCGTTGATAAACACAGCTCCTGCGGCGTATGCGGCAAAGTTGCGAACCGCAGGCATACCAACAGCACATCCTAGAGCGAATGCAGTCGTCTCAGTAAGAGCAGAAAGCAAGATCGAGGGGCCCATGCGTCCGAGAGCTCGAGAAACGCGTTCCGGGACGGTTCCTTCAGGGTGGCTGATGTTGATGCGCTCAAATTCGTGCACAATAAGGAAGATATTGTCTACACCAACGGCCAAGACAAGGAACGGAATCACCTCTGCTATGATCAAGGTGACCTTGATGCCGGCTGCTGAGAAAAGACCAACCGAGGCAGAAACTGACATGAGTACAATTAGAATACCCACTATGCCTAGCATGAACTTGGACTGTACTAGGGCGTTGGCGGGGTTGCGGAGGATAGACTGAACAGTGAGTGTGGTTGAGCCGAGCGCCAATGATGCGTACAAAAACATGATGATGTAGC